TACAGAACATTGTCTTTTCTCAATTATACATCCAATTATTTTGGTAATTCTAGTGTTTTTTTCCCACTTGTCCTCGCTGCTCTTGTCACACTAATTCTCTTCCACCTTCTGATCTTCTTCACGAATCATAAGACAACACACCTGACTTGTCAGCAGCAGCTTTGTGGTGTACAAACAGATTCTCAGCATGCTTTTTAAATTTGGTTGCTCAACAATCTCTGTTCTAGTTCTGCTTTCCTTCTTTGGTGCGTCAGACCACTGCTTTTCATGCAAACCCTAAATTTGCTGCAGAGTTAGTTGTCATTTATGATTTGGCAAGGTGCATAACTTTCTCATATCAACTAAAGTCACCTTTCAAGACCAGGAAATCAATAAACTAAACATGTATGAAGCTCTGCGTGATTGTGAGATGGACAATCATGATAAAGGCTGAGCAGATCAACCTAAATACAGTATGACCTGATGGGAGTGCCAACGCCTTCTCGACCCTCGTCCGTCTGCTTCCAATCTTCCCTGTCAATTTATGACAAAAGCTAAAAAGTCATGTTTTAGCTGAACACACTATGAGAAATGGGTTGCATCCAACAATACGGGTGTTTGTTTTTATTTTTATATAACACCTGTTGAAATTTCTTCATGGCAGTGAGCACACTTATAAAAGGTTGGCTCATTCTGTCATTTCTGCTGGACTTGGGTACAGTCCGCTCAGCGAATCGTAGCAAGTGCATGGCGTGGGAAGATTTGTTTAAGAAAAAATTGCTGCACAAAAAAAAAAGATTAGCCATTTCTGGCTGAAGAAAGCTACAGCTTCATCCTGGAAAGTTTGTGGTGAATTTCAAATAGCTGATCTGATCAGGCTGCAGAAGTCAGCTGATAATCACCTGCCGGCCTATAATTAATGGATAAAAACTAAATCCTGAATCAGTATGGATCGTTTCATCTACTGCAGGTGATTTCCACCTAAAGTGCTGACAGTTCCGTATTAAAAGAGAAAAAAACACCAAATATGTCATAAAGCTCATCTCTTCCTGTTGCAAAGGGGATGTTTTTACTTCTCCTTCAAGCCTGCCCTTGTCTGCTTGTGTTTTTCGAAGTTTTCTCTTTGGTCTTTTGCTGGAGGCAGGGCATTTGGGGAGGGGGTTGAAAATGGCCAACGCTATATGGACTAAACATTGAATAGCAGCTTATTGGGGCAAGAAAACACAAGTTGAGAGTCATCGACTACTTGCGGGGGGGGGGGCAGGTCCTTCCTGTGTAATACATGTGCATTCCCATGGGTGAACATCTGGATGAAGCTGTTTCTCAAACTTTAAACACAAGTTTTTATGTCCCACTGTGCAAAATGTGCCACAAACTCAACCGAATGTGTGTAAGAAATATGGAGATGTTAGCGTTCTTCTTCAGGTTTTGAAACACATACACTTGTCTTTGATAATAATTATAGGTTAGGGGGGCCCTGTGGGGGGTACTCGGGGAGTATGGGGTACCAGGCTTTCTGATACAGGCTGTTAGGTCCCTGTATGACCGGTGTCAGAGCTTGGTCCGCATAGCTGGCAGTAAGTCGGGCTCGTTCCCAGTGAGAGTTGGACTCTGCCAAGGCTGCCCTTTGTCACCGATTCTGTTCATAACCTTTATGGACAGGATTTCTAGGCGCAGCCAAGGTGTGGAGGGCATCCGTTTTGGTGGCCTGAGGATCAGGTCTCTACTTTTTGCAGATGATGTGGTCCTGTTGGCTTCATCAGAACGTGATCTTCAGCTTTCGCTGGTGCGGTTCGCAGCCGAGTGTGAAGCAGCTGGGATTAGAATCAGTTCCTCTAAATCTGAGACCATGGTCTTGATTCAGAAAAGGGTAGAATGCCTTCTCCGGGTCAGGGATGAGGTCCTGCCCCAAGTGGAGGAGTTTAAGTATCTCGGGGTCTTGTTCATGAGTGATAGAAAACTGGAGCGTGAGATCGATAGGTGGATTGGTGCTGCATCTGCAGTCATGCGGGCGTTGTACCGGTCTGTCGTGGTGAAGAGAGAGCCGAGTCAGAAGGCGAAGCTCTCGATTTACCGGTCTATCTACTTTCCTACCCTCACCTATGGTCACGAGCTTTGGGTAGTGACCGAAAGAACGAGATCGCGGATACAAGCGGCCGAAATGAGTTTTCTCCGAAGAGTGGCTGGGCTCCCCCTTAGAGATAGGGTGAGAAGCTCGGTCATTCGGAAGGAGCTCGGAGTAGACCTGCTGCTCCTCCACATCGAGAGGAGCCAGTTGAAGTGGCTCGGGCATCTGGTCAGGATGCCTCCTGCGACGCCTCCCTGGTGAGGTTTTCCGGGCACATCCGACCGGGAGGAGACCTAAAGGTAGACCCAGGAAACGTTGGAGGGACTATGTCTCTCACCTGGCCAGGGAACGCCTCGGGATTCCCCGGGAGGAGCTGGCCCAAGTGGCTGGGGAGAGGGCCTCTCGCCTTAGACTACTGCCCCTGCAACCCGACTACAGATAAGTGGATGAAAATAAGCAGATGAAAATGAATGAATGAATGAATGAATGAATGAATGAATGAATGAATGAATGAATGAATGAATGAATGGATGGATGGATGGATGGATGTTGATCTGTTTGTAACTAACAGGTATTGGCTAGCTGTGATCACACCAGACCCATTTTATTGCAGACACCTGGCTGCATAATGCTTTTATTAGACAATACATTGATGTGCTAATGCCATTCCCATAAGGGCAGAGGTGCAACACTCATCCCAAAGGAAGGATTTGTTTTTACCTAGGATGGTTGTAAAACTTTAATTTCATCTTTCAGAGTCTAATCCACATATGTCAGAGTCAAAGCCCGCGGGCCAGATGCGGCTCGCGGAGCATTTTTATGTGGCCTGCGAGATAAATATCAAAAATATATTAAAACTGGCCGGCTGGCCGATTTTACCGCAAAGACTACAACTCCCATGATGCTTTGCGGCGCCAGCGCGGAGCAGACGCGCCCCCTCCTTTGTGTTTTTTCAGCGCCGAGGCAATCGGTGTAGTTGGGTGTCTGCAGCTCCGCTGTGTCGGACCAACTACACTCCTTTCACTCAGCGCTGAGTTCACTCAGCTGTTTTCTGACGTTGAAGCCCAGAAACGGAGATTCTAGACGCTCAGTAATGTGTTCACGACTTAAAGAGAAAGTTTTCAAACTAACTTCCAGACAGAGCTGATATAACTCCAGCGAGCAGCGACACGCTCAAACCAGCATGGCTCTGTGGCTGCTGTCGTGTTTCCTCCCCGACACACAACAACGTGGTCAAGCTGCTCAGACATGTTCATCAGCACAAACCTATGTGAGCACCTGTTGTCATCTAATGTTGTCATTATTATGATGAAGATGAACAAAACAACAGGAGTCTCCTCCTCAGCTCAGATCAACCCCATGATGCAGGTATCTTCCTGGAACAGGTGAGCATCACAGTAAACCAGTGGAGCAAACTGAGCTTTAAATATGTTGGTTTTATGCTCTTTTTCTGCTCCAAAACATGAAAGTTAACAGGTGAGATGTTGCATTTTCATTTAAGATAAAATCATATTTTTATTTTGTTGTTGGCCCGTGAGCAAAGATTTAACCTACAGTAAACAGGAAGTGGAAAGGCTGCAGATAGATGAATAGAATAGAAAATCCCTTTATTGTTCCTCAGTGGGGAAAGCTAGACATCACAGCAGTGATGACACTTATTACAGGAGAAAAAAGGAGAATAAAAATATGAAAAATGAATAAACAAGAAAACATAAATCCTGAATAGATTTTAAAAATGCTGAATACACCACAAGTAATGAATACCACTGATGTGTTTTATTTGTAACTGACTTGCTCGTGTGTAATTAGGTTATTCCACATTCAGTGTTAATGCAGAAATAAGTTTGTTTCCAAATTTAAAGGTTCAAAATTGCATATATGTTGATAAAGAAAATGTGCAAATTTACCGTCACTTTTTCAAAAAATATTAAGTTTGGCCCTCGACTCCATCCCAGAGTTTCATTTCGGCCCCTTGTGAGTTTGAGTTTGACACCCCTGGTCTAGTAGATTGGTTACTGTTAGACAGTTAAAGGGGAACTAGGCAGTTTTGGCTCGCTTTCAGCACCCCCTAATGTACGTTTGTAGAACCAAATCAAAACATGTCTCGTCGCTGTGCGTTTGTCTTTTTAATACCTTAATCTAACAGCTGAAACTTCTCCCCAGCCTTCATTGGTGTCTACAGGAGTGATTCATCACTAAATTAAACAAATCAGCTGTGTTCATGATTTAAAACATGCATGAAATGTGCTGGAAGCAGACTGCAGCACCAAGTACGTCAGCTCAAAAGAGCGGCCCGCCAATCTGAAGTTGCAAGTGGAATATTCTGGCCACGTGGGCCATAGGGGCTGGGTGGCATTTCATTAACCCTGTAAAAAGTCATTTTAGAACATGCTGGTTCAAGAAAATTATTTGGTAATGCTTCTTTTTACAGTCCCCTAATTACTAAGTACTTACTTGGTGATTACATAGTAAGTTAAAGTATACTATTGTGTAATTAAAGTGTATAATTATAATAAAGTGTAATTATTGTGTAGAGCAGTATACACTGGGAATGATTAAGAAAATAAAAACTAGAATTGAACCTGAGCTACATGGTAATAACCGTTTAAGTACTCAGAAACAATATTACACTTTCACTTACTACCATGTAAGTACTTTGTAAATAGGGGACTGTAAAAGGAAGCATTACCAATGATTTGAAAGTACGAAAAAATGGCTAAGTGTCCCTTTAAGCTCAGAGCACGAGTAATACCGATCCCTGGTCAGTTTTGTTTTTAAATCCTGTTCATAAGGATAATGAAATATAAAAGTATCTAAAATAAACACTCAGATTGTCTCCATAAATCAGCTAGTGACCTTTTTTCCCCAAAATATTTGCATCGGAATCAGTCCCTGAAAAATCCTGATCGGTCTATTCTGTCTTTTTTAACACACCCATTTTCAACTGTCTTACCTTTGTGTCAACTATGGAGCAGGCGATTTGCTTGATGTAAGCCAGATCAGCAGCCTGGGGCAGCAGGACGGACTCCCTGGTCAGACCGATCTGGATGATGAAGGACACACCTGCTGGAGTGGGGGTCATGGAGGGGACCACAGTCCCACCGGGACACTGCCCCAATGCCAGGTCAATCATTGGAAAGCCACCATGAGGAGATATGGGAGGCATGGATAATGGGCTCTCCTGTGGCATCGTTGCTGGGTCGGGCGACGAGACGCCTCCGTGGGGGAAGATGACCTGGGACATCAGTCCTGGGGTCACACAGCTGCTAGCATTTGCCATTAGGAGTCTGTGGGCTCTGGGCTGCCTGGAGCTCAGCAGTGACAAACACACGCCCAGGTGTGGTGTAAAGTTCTCAGAAAAGCCACACTCATTCAAACTGTTCTTGTTAAACAAAGGAATTGTGGAAACACACACTCAGCAGACAACCTCCATCCTTCTGAGTCCTTGATCCCCCTCCTGTCCGTAGATTAGGGAAGAAATCCTTATCCAGGAAGTAATGTTTTTATTTCCTCTCTGTCACTTCTTTCTCGTCTGACTCCTGTTGTTGTCCAGGCATGACAAGCAGGAGCAACGTGTGTGTGTGTGTGTGTGGTGTGTGTGTGTGTGTGTGTGTGTGTGTGCGTGTGCGTGTGAGAGAGAGAGTGAGGGACACTCAAGCCTCAAAGTTACACCGAGGCAGAGAGAGAGAGAGAGAGAGAGAGTCACCCTCCTGCTGCTGTTCCACCTTCCTGCCCTCCTTCAGCTGGTTTGGTGAAAGATGTTGGTCTGCAGAGTAGAAAGTCCAAACTTGGTGGTGAAAGTCTCAGTCGCGGCTGAGAGCTGGGGAATAAAAACAACAATGCCAAACTTTGTTGTGATCTGCTCCAGGGCTGAGTGACAAAATGGCCTCCTTAAACAGGAAACCATGAGAATGACGGAGACAAAGTGTCTGCACTCCTTTTACAATCCTAACCCTGTTTCAGTTTCAACCCCAGTGCAGTCTCTTTTTTCTGTGAAAGAGCAGAGAGAGAGAGAGAGAGAGAGAGAGAGAGAGAGAGAGAGAGAGAGAGAGAGAGAGAGAGAGAGAGAGAGAGAGAGAGGGATGTCTGATCTGAGGTTACCTCCCCCATACCCTCCCCCCTGCCCTCCCATCTGTGATCTTACCACAACCAAGGAGGAAGTGAGATGATTGACACATCCTGAAGCCAATTGCTTTTCACTAAGGACTGCCTCTTTGGCTCCCTACTCCCAGGTTTTCCTCCCTTTCCTCCCCCTCTCCTCCTTCCTTGGTAAAGGGTTGTTTGACTTGTTGGCTCCCTCCCTCTGCCCTCTGAGGAGGTCAGCGTAGATCCTCTTACGCAGCCTGAGGGGGCAGCTCCCCACTCACAAACACTCCCATCACTGCCTAAATTCACTTTGCCATTTGTGTCCCTCAATAGAAACACAAATGTTTCCCTTTATTCCTTCCATTACACGTTTTTTTCATAATAAAACTGACCTCAGTGCAGAACCACACCTAATATAGATGTTTAAAACCTAACTGAACATTCAAAGGCTGAGAAAGGAAAAAAAAGTAGGACAACAAGAAGTCAAAACAGAGGTGTGGTGTCTGTGGTGATCATATCTACCACAGAGAGAAGCTTTCTGCAACATCAGATGCTAAAATTTCATATTCTTGTTTATAATCTCGTTTTTCTTCTAATGTGAGCCCTTCAAGGTCACATTTTATTTTCAATTTCATTTAAGCAATTAAAAAATAGACAACTGTTAATTGTGTGTCAAAAATGCCTCAAACGCCCAGCAGCTGCAAATACATCCACTAGAGGACGCTGTTTCTTTAAAACGTAAATGGAGTATCAGTAATTGTCCATGGGACAGCAGTAGCTCAGGAGGTAGAGCGGGTCTACTCGAGCGGGTTGGCCAGTAATCGGAAGGTTGCGGGTTCGATTCTGACTCTGAGAATGCTGCTGTTGTTAGGGCAGCCTGCTTGCCTGCTGCTGGTCGGAGGGACCGGTGGCGCCAGCGTTCAGCAGGCCTCGCCTCTGTCACTGCATCCCAGGGCAGCTGTGGCTAAAACGTAGTTCATCTCCACCAGCATGTGAATGTGTGTGTGACTGACTGTGTTGTGAAGCGCCTTGGGGGTTATAGAACCCTTAGAAGGTGCTTCACAAATACAGGATATTTACCATTTAGTCTCATTTCATTTAGTGAATTTTACATGTGTAGATAAGAGATATCAATAAAATATGATGGTAACTCTACAATAAGGGTCCCTTTATTACTACTAAGCATTAATAAACTATTAAATAAAGTATCAATGACCATATTGTGTAATGCATTACTAAGCACACACACCCGTGTGCGTCAGTTTTTCTCCTTTCAAACAAAGGAAGGAGGTACGTACTCCAAAGGAGGGTGCTGTTTACCATCAGTGAGTGTGGGGGTGCCGTGTCTCCTGCGAACTAATGCTGCAGTGCCTACAATTGTAATTTGACGACGGCCGACAAAAAGCTCCAGATTTTACCACAGGATGTCATTTTTACGTCCTTTCCACATATTGCCTCTTTAATAAAGCAACCCTTTGTTTATTAATGCTTGATGATGCAATAACATTAATAAAGGAATAAAGTGTTAACAAAATTTTTTTTTTTTCTTTTCCAACCTTCACCCATGCATTGACCGTAAAAAAAAGATTGCAGATTCAAGTGGCTGAAGTTGGTTTTCTCTGCAGGGTGTCTGGGCTCTCTTTTAGAGATAGGGTCATCCGGGAGGGGCTTGTAGTAGATCTGCTGCTCTTCCACACTGGGTACGCCTTGGGATTCCCCCAGAGGAGCTGGCCCAAGTGGCTGGAGAGAGGGAAGTCTGGGCCTCCCTGCATATGTTACTACAACTGTTAGACTTGTGCAGGGTGGGTGCTTTGAATGCCCAGAAATCTTATATGTACATCTCACCCTCTGTGGGTGGTCTCATCTTGCCAAGCCCGGGTCCTCTACCAGAGGCCTGGGAGCTTGAGGGTTCTGTGCAGAATCTTAGCTGTTACTAGAGCTGCACTTTTTTGTATCTGCTTTAGCCACTCCTCCAATTTGGGGGTCACTACCCCGAGTGCCCCGATGACCACGGGCACCACCGATGTCTTCACTCTCCAGGCTTTCTCAAGTTCTTCTTTGAGGCCCTGGTAATTCTCTAGTTTCCCGTGTTTCTTTTTCCTGATGTTACCATCACTTGATATTGCCACATCAACCACAACAGCTGTCCTCTGTTGTTTGTCCACCACCACAATGTCCAGTTGGTTCACCATCACCATTTTGTCATTCTGGATCTGGAAGTCCCACAGGAGCTTGTCTCTCTCGTTCTCTACCACCTTAGGGGGTGTTAATCATGTTGAGCTCGGGCTTCTACTCCATACTCTGCATAGATGTTTCTTTACACGATGCCAGCCACTTGGATGTGGCGTTCCATGTATGCTTTCCCTGCCAGCATCCTATATCCTGCAGGTATGTGGTGGATAGCCTACACCTTGGGTCTTGTCTGGTGTAGGTCTTGGCCTCTGTTGCTCTGGTGTTCAGGGCCTGTTCCTGTGCAGCCATGATGAGTGCCTCTGTGCTGTCCTTCAGACCAGCTCTTCCTAGCCATTGGATTTCTTGACACCAGTCACATCAGTTATCTGTCTGTGGTACATCTCATGTAGGGGTTTCTCCTCCCACAATGGTATTTCCAGCATCTCCTCCTCTGTTCACCATTGTCTGAGACATTCACTGAGCACATTATCTGTTGGGGCCTTGTCCTAGATTATGGATCTTGGATGTTTCATCCTGGACAGTGGCTCTCACGGTCACTGGTCCTCAACCTCCTTCTTAGTGTACAGTCTCAGGGTGCTGGATTTGGGATGGAACCATCGACATATAAACATTGGACAATGGGTTTCCATGGGCTCCAATAACACGTTTTTGAGGCTAAATAGGAGGTGGCCACCACCGCCATTTTGACTGTGTCACAGGTTCCATCAAGCCCAGACAATTCCACAAAAGGGAAGAGAGGTGGAGCTGAGGGTGTGGCTGTAAGGCTGGGATCAACTGATGACACCCGGTCAAACTAGCTACAAGTTAACCTGAAGCTAACCCAAAGGTAACGCGGAGGTGGGAGCTAAGCTAACGGAGGTAGCAACCTAGCTACAACCGGAGTTAACTGTGCACAACACCAAAGCTTCTGAGTCAGAGATACGCCGGGCTGACCGCTGGGTAAAACCGGGTGGAACACAGAGGTCTCCCGAAAGCTGCTGAAAGCCGGCAGCCCGCGCAGCAAACAGAAGCCGCGATCAGACAGAGATGCGCCGAGCTGCGGGGAGGGGAGAAACGGGTGGAAAACATCGGTCTCCCGAGAGCTCCACAAGCCGATAGTCGGAACCCAGCTCCACCAACATGTATATTTTGTAGAGAAATAGAGTGATGTAACGATCAAGAGTTGTATTTTAATATACTGTAAGTAGATCTAGTTTTTATAATCAGAAGAATAGGTTGTTTTTATCATCAGGGAGTTCATTTAACACTCTGTATTGACCTTGAGACAAGAAAAGAGAGAGTTGGGATCGTTTAAGAATTTTATTATGAATTCTACAATCTATCAGGACTAACTCTGTGTTGTTTGGAAATGAATGTGATGTTCGATGTGTGTGTGTGTGTGTGTGTGTGTGTGTGTGTGTGTGTGTGTGTGTGTGTGTGTGTGTGTGTGTGTGTGTGTGTGTGTGTGTGTGTGTGTGTGTGTGTGTGTGTGTGTGTGTGTGTGTGTGTGTGTGTGTGTGTGTGTGGTTGGTTCAGACTCCTTAGGCTGACGTCATTGAATCTGGTAGTCTTTGTTATGACTAGATATCACGAGGCTTATAAAGTGATGACATGAGCTGCTATTTTGCCGTGTACGTACCCAGTGGGGGCCTCCCAGGTAGATCAGGAAATGCCAGGTCTGAAGACCTCGGATGTGCGCTGGAGCTGGTCGAAACAGCGATCGCAGCGTTTCAAAGCCCGTCTGAAGGGTCGACCCAGGTAACAATCGGCAGCGTCAGCAGGTGCTCTTATTTTGAAAGGATGTCGTCTGGTTGTTAAACGACGAAAATCTCCAACTTCACAGTTCTTAGTTTAAAGAAGAAAACACATCTGGCCAGGCTGTGCTTCTCTTTGGGATGACGGTGAAACCCCGTAGGACTTCCAACTGAACAGAACTGAAGTCAAAATGGAACTGAGCTTAAAATGGCATTGCCTTGTTTTATATCTCTGAATTGTTGATAAGTTTTAGTAAAGCGGATTGGACACTTTAAGTCAACAAGCCAGATTCTCTTGCGGCAGCCGAAAGCTCTGATTGGTTGGAACAATGTGTCATGCGTTTCTATGGAGATGAGGGTCAGTCTGTCTGTGCAGTAGTCCTGTTTTCATTAAACACATAAATCATGACATCTTTATTCCACAGATCATTCACTTGATTATTATTGATCAACATCTGTTTCGAATAGCTTTAATCACAAATTAAGTACTTTGATTATTGAAAAGTGTTCTTCTCCTTCTGGCTCTCCTCCTGGAATGTAAACAGTCTGAGGAACACCCGACCTTAGCGTTTTCTACACGGGTGTTACTGTGTACAGGGGCAGCTGTGTGGAGCTGAAAATATTGAACTTCATAACGTTACAATTTCAACCCATTTTCTAAAGTGCAGCATTATGTTAAATAAACTGGGTTTTACCCTATTACATTTAAATTTCATGGTTGAACAGTACATGTTAAAATCTAAGCTCAGCTCGGCAGTGACCTAAAATACATAAATATAAATTTACTTACCGAAAAAAATGAAGTGGAGACTCCTTGGACGCTCTAGTAGTGCAATTAATGCCACAGCAAGTAATTTTGTCCAACAATTGCACAAATAATATCCAAAAAGGAATACACAAACACAGAGACTCAAAATCCCAGAAGTTTCCAAGCCAGACCGAGGCTCTACTGAGGCCTTTCCACGGAGCTAGCTCTGCGGTCACGTGGGTCTGATGCTCATTAATTATACAGAATTTTAGGCTTTTAATACACTTAAACAGAAGAGTGAGAAAAAACTCACCCCCCTCAGAGTTGTCATGAGTGTAAACTAGATCATTTAAACCAAAAACATGGTTTGGTACCAGGCTGTAAACATGTTTATTTCTGCTGTGAAATTGGTATTTTTAACATGGGAGTGAATGAGGATTTGCTCGCTACTGACACCAGCCCCCAGCGGATGAGGGTGGAACTGCAATTTTTGGTTCTTCCGGGTTGGGCTCAATTTTTGAGCCGCATTGTGGGGGCTTGGTAAGAACATGCCAATGTTCACTCTGGTTTCATCTCTGCTTCGCTTCCAAAGACATTACTCTCTTACTTTTACTTCCGGGCTCTGCTACGGTGCAAAAAGAAAATGCAAACTGCGTCTTTTTCTTCTTCTTGTGCTTTTTATTGATGATATGCAAACTGAAAATGCTAATCGTTAGCATTACAGCTAACAATCATAATGCAGGTAAAGAGCTCCCTCTATAAGCCACCTACCTGCTTCACAAAACTGTCAAGTGTGATGTTTGGCCTGCAGAGTGCAGAATGATGTCAAATATAAAACATGTCAACTTTCTAACCCAGCAATCTCTCAGATCATTGTTAATGATCTAGCTTAAAGAGCAACTCACCCCCAAATCAACCTTTTGTTTTGCTGATAAATTACATAAAGCTGGGCGGACACTGTGTGACTTTTTCACTCGTAGCACTCAGTGTCAGCTCAAACTGTACGACTTCCTCGCAGGGCAGATCTCACAAGTCATGTGCTCACACTCTACGACCCAGTTCTCGGATGCGACCTGACTGCTCACACTGTACGTCTGGTAGCAACACGTCGGACCTAAAAATATGCTAAAAATAGCAGTTTTTACACAACACGTCAGACTTTTTTGTGTTGTTTTGCCTGTTGTCCTTCGGGAGTGCTGCAGGAGGACACACTGGGATTTATGGGGGTTGGATGAGGAAAACGAAATAAAAAAAAGTAAATCTGTGTTTTGTGATCAGTTTAATTTGACATAAACATGACAAACACGCTTTCTTGACAATCCTTGTCACTGTGTGTAAAAAAATGTTTAGAAATGAAAACGAACAACACGTGTTATTAGGGAAATAGCGGGTGAGCAGTGTTGATGCATGAATGCGCATGCGCTGTGAGCGGTTCTGGTACTTTTTGGGTTGCAGCCGCTCGCTGCGCCGCCTCAACCCTCACGAGGAACGAGCAAAATATCAAACACTCCAGAAGTCCGTGCGAGCTCACAATTGCTGATCGGTAGCTGGTCACGTGGTGTCAATCGGCTCTCGTAACCTCCTGTATACTACACGATGCTCAGCACAAAACTCGCCCCGATCTTGTGGATTCTCGCATGAGTGGAAAATCGGCTCAAAAAAGTGAAAAAGTCACACAGTGTCCACCCAGTTTTAGTAAAGTTAAAGTTAAAGTGCCATTAGTTGTCACACACACTGGTGTGTGTGCGAAATTTGTTCTCCGCATTTGACCCATCCCCTGGGGGAGCAGTGAGCTGCAGACACAGCCGCGCTCGGGAACCATTTGGTGGTTTAACCCCCCAATCCAACTCCTTAATGCTGAGTGTCAAGCAGGGAGGCATTGGGTCCCATTTTTTCAAAGTCTTTGGTATGACCCGACCAGGAATCGAATCCTGATCTCCCAGTCTCAGGGCGGACACTCTACCACTAGGCTACTGAGCAGTAGGTTGCGTTTTAGCTCATTTGGGATTTGTGGCGTCAGTTGAGGTATTATTTCAGCCTTTCCAATGTTAATCAGCTGCTCCCGATTGTAAACCAGCTTGTTGCCATGGTTACGCATCATAACAAATGCTCAAAAAGTGAAAAAATACCCCTAAAAATCCTCTAAGCTTCACAGCACCAGAAACAGAAAAGTAAAATGTCCAAAAAAAAACAGTTTTTCTTGAGAAACTAGAAAAAAATGTCCCAAAAAAAGGCAAAACTTGCATATAGTCAACAGAGCTACTCCAACATGCAGCCACCCAGAGCAGCGCAGTTCTGGAACAACCCTGCTGTAACTTTTGTTAACAACGAGCTAATTAAACCATAAAGTAATAAAATCCACACTGTTGGATAAAAGATATTATTTCTTAGACAGGTCACCATCAGTCTGTGATTTTGTAGCCTCCTTCAGCTTCCTCAAACTACTGGATGAAACCCACCATGCATGGCTAGCAGTGTCCGTGTCTTAATGTCTGTGGTCTGCATTTCTTCCTTTGGTCAGCTTATTATTCATGCAGGATATCTGATTACTGGCAGGGCGTAGCTGTTTATTGCCCACATCTTGTTCTTGCTGTTGAGCTGACTTAGGACTTGACTTACTAGTTGTAGGTATTTGGCTGTGGCTCTTTTCCTTGCGGCCTCGTTGAGGTTGCCATTTGCTTGTGGGATACTGTTGTTGGTTTTGGATCCGCAGGGTCCGGTCCGTCGCTGGCAGCAGTTTGGGAGGACCTTCGGTTCAGCTCGGTTCTTTTGTCCACAGGGGAGGAACGTAGAGAAAAACACTCAAATCTTATAACTATTACAAATTAAATAAAGAGGAAAAAAGACTGAGTTGGTGGCTTCAATTTTACGTAGATTTTTAAGAAAAAAAAAACAGATCTGGCCTCTCTGAATGCTATTCAAAGAGTAACCCGAGCCTAGATCAGTACATGTCCATATATAGGATCAAAATGTTGAGTTTCATTTTGAAAGAAATTACAGGAAATAGTAAATTTTGTAATTTTCAGGGTATTTTTTCCTCTCCTCCTTGATATTATTTTTTCAAAGAGGATGAAAATATAGATTATTTATCGATTTATTGAGACAGGGAGGCTAAATGTATTAAGATCATAATTGTGTTATAGCCCAATAAAGACATTGTAAAGAGTTTTGCTAACACTAAAAGGCCAGTGGGTTTTATTTTGAAATAAGTCACGGGGGGGGGGTTTAAACTAAGTACCCTAAATATTGTAAGTTAAAAATGTGATGTATTTTTCTTACCTTATCCATCTAATTACTTCTGCTTGGTATTAAACGTCCCATAAGGAAAAAAAATAACGATTAGATTTTTTTCCAGCTCCTTTGAGATAAGGCTAAAATGAGTTTTAAATTGTTTAACAGAACCATAATGCAGTTATAGCATCCCTCTTTTCGTTCCAAATAAACCTCGTGTGTGTGTCATCGACATATGGTGTGTATGTGTGTGTGTGTGTGAACAAAGACAACCTAGTTCCATCTGAACAAATCATCAAACATCAGGAAAATTATCATAAAGAGACAACAAGCAAAATCAAGTTTTGTCTGACATTTTTCATGCAGCTTTTATCATGATTATAGTGAAATAAAAATACATACACTTTGAAAGGAAATAATTTAGGGAAATATGTGATTTCATCATAATTAATGCCAAACAGAACTTTCTCTTAATAAAAAGCCATAAATGGATAAAAGAAGTACACATTGTAGTAGTTTGCATTTTAATTATATCCCTTATTTTACTCTCTGAATATTTGTATAGTTCAACCGGTGATGTTTGGGAATGGTGAAAAAAGATGCATCTCTCAGGTGTGAATAAATAAAACAGCTAAACCGTAAGGTCTTAAGTATTACCATAGACTGTACATTATTACCATAGACTGTACATACCTAAACTTTACTCGTTCTTTACTCTAGTCTGTTTTAGCTCATCTACTCTTATTCATATTTCATAACGGCAATTTACGTTTCTTGTTTCACATCCAAAAAAGACAGAAAGTCACTGTACAAAATCTTTATTTTCTTGATCTTTTCTTCCTTAATGACATACACAAGTGACCCGTAAACAAAGCAAAAAAATCATTTAATACAAGCCAGAATGCAGTTCAAAAATATATAAGACAAATTAATCCAAAAGCAGGTCTCTTATCCCTTGTAGTTAGAGGAAATAGTTTGAATACAGCTTTATATGATGTACAAAATATCACACAGTGATAAATTGCTAATAAAAAAATAAAAACACAAAGAAATGAGAGTCCTTTACCTTGGCCTCTGACTGGTAACAGATTATTTTTATTTTGTTTTTATTGTTTTTCATGTTTTTAACCGTTTTGCTTTTTTTTAAAACATGTTTTACATTGTCATCATTCACAAGTTTGTTCTATGCCTAGCAAGGAAGAATGATTCACTTATGGTACTACGATATTCTTAAATCTCATTAATTATATTGGTAATTAAAGAAAAGCGATGCAAGAAAATAAACAAGGAAATGAGAGACATTTACAGCACGTAATGGCAACGCTACTCATCATTTACAAATCACGGTTTGGATTTCTTTTCTTGATGCCTCACACTGATTTGTCTTTTTTCAATTTCTTTTTTTTTTCTCAGCGAGGGAACGTGTTAGTTCATAGTGGAGAGAAAAAATAAGCATCAGCTCGTTTCAAACTATTAATGTTTAAAAGGATTTTTCGGCCAATTCCTGGTGTTTCTGTGTAAAAATGATAAATAATGACCATCCTACCGAGTCTAGACTCCAGCAGTTCAAGCAGTAGGGTTCACAGGATTGATATGCTAACAGCTAGTCCAAAACCAAAACTGATAGCTGTCATTTTCAAACTGTTCCTGTCATTCAGCGCTTATGGCAGCATTGTATGAAAAACCTTTTCTTTTACACAGAAACACAATAAAAAGGCCAAAATCTCTCTTTAAATGTGCGCTACTCCACTGTCGTGTTTCCACTTCGCTACCTCTGCACCCTGTCTGTTCACTCCTAAACTACGTGTAGTGCAACGTGGAGCTGAATAGTAGTTAAACAAGACAACAGGACATCCGGACCTGCTGCAGTACAATAACAAAGTGGCACTTTTTTTCCTTCTTTAGATTTATGTCAAAGCAACAGCAGCGACACGTTTTCTAACCTCACACATTCATAGAACACCCTGTTTGGACAACAAATATTTAGAGGATCATTAACATTAGTGTTGCTAGGACTGTTTGACCTCCGGGCTACTTTAGCCTCCGATTTCAGATCATTAAAAAAAAACTTTTTAATGAATCCCATCTTTTGGGGTTATTCTAACTAAACACATGTCCTGGTAGTTCTCCCAGTGCCTCAGGAGGTCTGGCCTGTTCAGAGCAGTGGCTCCAAACGCAGGATCCCTCCGAGGGTCGGTGAACGCTTAAATGAAATAAAAAATCCAAGTAAAAGCAAATAAATGATTGCTAGTAGTGGATTTTTGCCATAATTACTAAAATAATTTAAAAACAATAAAAAATGATGAAATGTATCGACATTATGGTCTGCCAGTTATTTAGTGGGTCTGAAGCTTACGTTTGGGAATCTCACTCTTAGTGTAGCCGGAGAATATTAGATTTTCCAGATGTTTTTAACAACAAGAAGGTTTAGGAATTCTGTTTTCTTGTTTAAATGAGACAGCAGATATTGGTAAGTAGGGTTTAGTGGGAAAGGAGTCTCAGGAGGAACTCTTGAGGTTTTCCCAGGATTTGTTCAGTCAGATGGATCCGGTGAAAACTTCCTCACATCTTGTGTCAATACTGTCTTTGGAGAAACTCATTTTTGCTTTTTGTTTTTCTCAGTATGAGCATCTCTGTGCCGTTAGTGCCCTGGCCTGTTCTGCTAGAGGGAACATCGATTTAATGACAACAACGATGTCGAGCTTTTCTAAACGCCTGAACGAACAAGCAACAACTGACCATCAGCCACAAACTGAAGGGATCCTTCTTCACCATCAGCTTCAGGAAAACTCCTGTCTGAAACAATCAATGTCTACATTCCTCTCGTTCCTTTGGTCCGAACATCAACAGCGATTGGTAAACCTGAAACGTGCCGACGGTCGCAGAGACGACTCAGCAGCTTAAGCTGTAGTGTCAGACGTGGTTTAAGCGTGTGGCCGTAAGTAGAGACACAAAACAGTTCCCTGATTCTGACTCAAGGTCTTCTATAGCACCATGGTTTTAGTGCATTTACACACACACACACACACACACACACACACACACACACACACACACACACACACACACACACACACACACACACACACACACACACACACACACACACACACACACACACACACACACACACACACACACACACACACACACACACACACACACACATATGTACAGTAAAAAGACCCAACTCACAGCTGTAGTGACATCCGATGGTTAATGCGGTGTGGATCACGTGTTATGTTATCTCATACAGAAAGGTGATATTTAATCTCTCACACACACACACACACACACACACACACACAAAGGCGCAGAACCACGGGGGATGCTACTCTGACGTAGGTTAAAATGTCTTACACCAAAACAAAATACATTAAAGAATTAAAGCTATTTGTTCCGACACCGGTTAGCATCCATCTCCTCATTAATGAGTTCAACATTCTCCAACTGAACATATGATGACACACACCGTCTGCCTGGAGTCTTTGGAGTGCCACACACCCGTTCCCAGTGAGGAGACGGGATCAGGTGTCTCCTGTCCACACCGGGGACCGTTTCTGATGGTGCCTGTGAGCGTGTCTCATCCTCCAACTACAGGAGACCTAATGTGGCGGTGCATTTGTGCGTGGTGTGAAATACGAGTAGTGTGTCAGCAGCTGCAGCGTGCGAGCATATACACAAGGTGCTTAGTAAAAACCGTTGGCAGGATGTGGAGAGGAAAGCAGAACAGAACAGCGTCGTGTAGAAAAAGTGTTTCTCCAAATATGATGACTTGGAAACTGAGCAGCCATGGTTTGAAAGTTACTTTTAAAGAAGCAGTAGAGGATATGGTCGGTAGTTCAAGAAGTCACTGAGGCATCAGAGAACAGCGAGGAAACGATGGGAGGGTGGGGGCGTCCTGTGGTGATGACCCATCCAGTGGGGTGCAGGACAAGTGTGTGTGTGTGGGCGTGGGTGAGCAGTGAGTAGATGAAATGTTTGCAGTGTCGTCTTCAGTCTCTTTTGGCCCAGTTGAAGATGCAGGACACTGATGGGAGACAAAAATAAATAAATTCACAAACCTAAAAACAAGCTAATACTCTGAAGATGTTTGCCCAGGTTAAAGGTCAAAATGTAGCACTTCTGCTGGATCCCGGGGTTGAATCCAGCAGGAATTTGTTGATACTTTAGGGAAATTAACTGTATAATGCAGTTAATGGCATGTAAAGTTTATAAAGTAACATTTACATGGACTACTTTGAAATCTGGAAAATTAGAGCAGTTTTATAACTCAAGCAACACCTGCAGGTGAGATGTTTAAAGGGAAATTCCACCCAAAAAGGAAATTCTGTCTATTGACATATTACCCACAACTATATAAGTGGGAAAAAAACCAGATCAGTCATTCTCCTGACCCGGCTGTACTCCTTTAGCTTTAGCTTAGCATAATGCACAGTAGGTGAAAGGATCCAACTAACATCATGGGTAAAAACCTCCTTAAAATCACTCAGGTGTGATCCCAATTCTACTTGGTGACCTAAATAATCAGACTGACTGCAAGTGAAAATAATTAGTGACATCACAGGTGCCGTTTTAGACTTGGGACTACTTTCTGACAAAGCACAGCAGTAAGCCTCCACTTCAAGGCAGCCCCAAAGACACCTGCTTCTGTAAACACAAATGCACACATTTGCAAACCAAACCGGCATTAAGCACACACACACGATTATGAGAAAACAAACAGGCACACTGCATTTGCACAGGAGTGACTGGAGCTCCTCTGATGTGTGTGTGTGCGTGCGTGTGTGTGTGTGTGCGTGCGTGTGTGTGTGCGTGCGTGCATGTTTTATGGAGGGTCAGTTTGCGAACATGTGCATCTGTGTTTCTGAAAGCAGGTGTCTTTGGGGCTGCCAGCAGAGGCTTACAGCTCGTCTTTGTCAGAAAGTAGTCCCAAGTGTAAAACGGCACCTGTGATGTCACTAATTATTTTCACTTGCAGTCAGTCTGATTATTTAGGTCACCAAGCCGAATTGGGATCACTCCTGAGTGATTTTAAGGTTTTTACTCACGATGTTAGCTGGATCCATTCACTTGCTGTGTATTATGCTAAGCTAAAGCTAAAGGAGTACAGCCGGGTCAGGAGAATGACCCGGGCCAGTTAAAAAAACTGTTTTCCCTACTTATCTAACTCTGGGTAATATGTCAACAGACAAAATTTCATTTTTGGGTGGAATATCCCTTTAAATGAAACATCTGAGTACTAACAGTGTTTGGTTAAGGACTTCAGGATGTTTGCCTGCCGAATAATATAAAAAGAAATGATAAAAATTAAGTTAATTTCTCTAAAACATAATAAATGCACATCATGGGATTCTGCAACATATCGGTTTTTAAAAAAATGTGTATCAAAGTTGGTAAAAATAAATACATTAATGCCTAAATATGAATAAAGAAGCCCATCGTTTAACTCACAGGGTTCTATAAAAAACTCAGTTTAAAATGAACGTGTGACGCTCTGTAACATCAAAGTCAGACACACACGAGGAAGGTGAATCTTGTGTTGACTTAACCCTTATATAACCCTTTGACTTTCTAACGTTAATGTCCTTTGAGCACAAAAAAATGCACTAAGGTCGTATAAGGGTTAAAAAAAAGGTGAATTTTTGCTTCTGTTAAACCTCTGCACCGACAAGGACGTTTCATAAATAAAGACGACTTGCAGCAAAGATTGTAAAAAGCAAAATCTTTTCATGCAACAGCCGATTTTTTTAAAATCGTCTACAACCGAATCCTCCGTCTCACCAAAATCACAGCAGTACTGCTGTCACACAAAAATCTTGGCAAGTGCGTCTGCGCCGGCGCTGGCGATGAAGGGCTGTGAGGGGTGGAAGGCAACGTCATGAATGGCCTCGTCGTGCTTCTTCCTGTGGGCGGTGATTTCCTGCACGCATGTCCTGTTGTCCAGCATCCACAGACGCACCGAGCAGTCGTGGCCTGTGAGGGTGAAGGTGTTACTACCACTAAATGTTTGTAAGATGAAATGTCTTCCGTTTGTGTATTTAAACTTATTCAAGTGGGAAGTTGAGCCACACTCACTGCCAGAGACGAGGTAAGTGCCTTTAGGGTCTGTGGTGAGACAGGTGACGGCGTCTAAATGAGCCACCATAGAGTGGACAGCTTTACCTGCACAAACATCCAGAATTAGCCGATTCCAGGTGCTTCTGTGTAAAAATGATAAACAATGACCAAAGCTGCAGAGGAATAAAAAGAGACCTGTCTTGTTGTCCAGGAAGCGGATGGTGCGGTTCTCGTGTGCAGTGATGGAGACGGGTTCTGTTGGGTGACTGACCACACGGTTGATCAGCTCGCTGCCTGCAAAGAAAACAAAACAGTTCAATCGGACTTATTAGTCCTCGTCTTACTTTAGAAAAGGTGGCGTGAGCGGCGGTGAGGAGCGAACCGTCTTTGGACTGCGTCTCCAGGGCCGTGACGCTCTGCTCCGTGTTGAGGTCGTACAGCAGCGTCTCACCGCTGTCGAACGAGACCACCACCTGGTTTGGGTCAGAGGTCACAAAGGCCACTGAGGTGGGCGTTCCGTGTTCTGGGAAAACACAGATGATGAGGATTCAGAGTAATAAACTACATTTTAAATAATAAAACAATGTATTTTTAAACAAAACATTAAGTAGAAATAACCCTTAAAACATCTTCATGATTTATACATGTAAATAAATTGCTGTTCTGTTTAATAACACACCTTGTTCCATCTATGTTTTGTGTGTTTTTTAATCTCCTGAACCCAGATCGCTACCTTTCTCCTTATTGAAGACCGACACGCAGGGAGACGAGTTCTGAGGGTCCCAGATGCGAATCGTGGCATCGGCCGAGCACGAAGCGAGGCGATGGTGAACAGCCGAGTACGTCAGACCCCAAACGCTGTCCTCGTGGCCTTCTAACACACTGCTCTGGACACCTGGATCTGAAAGAAAATATAAAGCTTTTTTAATCAACCCTCAAACAATATGTCTCTAAACTCAAATCATTAGATTCCTCAGTCAAATATTTGAGCCTTTTATGGTTTTAACGACACACACACTTCCTGTAGACGTTAACGCTGAAATCCAGCAGGACGTCTGCTGTTTTCTCTCCCCGTCAACTATTAAAGCACCAAATCTGTGCAGAGAGAATGAGGTTCCGGCACTCATCTAATCAAATAAAAACAAATAAAATAAAAGGGTTATAAGTAACATTTTCTCCTGTTGGCTCCTCTAAAAAATTACAAACTTTTAAAATGATGTAGTCTTTAATAACAGTTTAATAAATATAATTATTTAGATGTGTTAGATCAGTCAGCGATGGGGCTGTAGCTGTCTAGATCCCTCTTTCAGCTGCATTCTCGTGAATGAACAGCAGGGGGTGACACTTCCAGCTGCAACAGAAGCAGAAGAAGTGACCCTAACTTTTATTCATTTTTTTCAGTGCAAAATAATGAATGTGCTTCAAATGTGGAATAACTCGATTTAATGTAACTTAAGTAGATTAAACTCTCTTTTTGACTTATAGTGCAGGAAAACACCTCAGCATTTGAAAGGCTGCAGCTTTCTTCACATAAATAAATTATTACAAACTCCAGGCTTTTTACCAACAAGGGGACACTCCGGAGAAGACTCACCGTAGTTATCGTAGGGATCTACATTGAGGTCGGGCATCTTCCAACATCTGACAGTTCCATCTAAGCCTCCGCTGAAGCAGGACTCTCCATCCTCACTCGTGGTCAGGGACAAAACAGATCCACTGCACAGAAAAAGACAGGCTTGTGAATGACGAGTAACTAGTAAAACAGGTGGCACCTGTAAATGTCTGAATTGACTCACCTGTGAGCCCTAAACGTGTAGATGGGCTCAACGTCCAAAGCTGCATTCCTGCGGGGAAACAGGAGCTTGTTACTTTTTAGTTTGTGATCAAACGACTATGTCCACTAAAAGATCTCTCACTTTTTAGAGTGCATGGCCTTGTTGAGGTTCCACAGTTTTAGCGTGCCATCCTCAGACGCGGTGAGCAGAACTGCTTGGCTGGGGTGAAAGGTCAAAGCCCGGATAGCGTCAAAGTGGCTGCGTAGTGTGAAACGAGGGTTCCATGTCTTCTTGAAATCCTCTCTGTTGTCCTGCATCTAACAGGATAAAAAACACATCGGGACATATTTAGTTACTAACGTGTTTTAGTGTTGACCAGATCTGATCTGTAATTACATCTATGGAGAGGTCGTTGTCATTGGCGACGGTGAGATCAGCCAGTTCCCCGAGGTTCATGTCCCCTCCTCCGACAGCATCCATGATGAAGACGTCAGAGGAGAATCCAAGAGCACCACCTAGAGGTTGGAGGTGGAAAGACAAATGTTTATCTTTTTATCCAGGTGTTCTTCTCCCGCACTACCGGTGAAGCAGGTGTAGGTGTACTCCCTCCACACAAGCTTTGATTCAGATCTACATTTGAGCTACAAGTGTATGTGTGGGTAGGTGGGAGGAGTACACGGGCAAAGTAGAGCGAGTCGTTTTTAAAAGTGGAATATTAGAAGTCCTACCTTCCCCGGAGCGAGCCTGTCCCGATACAGCCGGGGGCGGAGAAGGTTTAGGAGGGAAGTCCGACATTATGCCTTGTAGCTTGTTCCTGCGGTTCTCTGAAGCCGGCAAGAGGAGAAAGACAAAACATCTAGTCATGACGAGGAGGAGGAGGAGGAGGAAGGATGGACGCTAATACAAGATATCCTAAAGAGGTTTTAATCTTCATGGGAAGGAGAGACACGTCATTTATGACCCAAAGAGTGGAATGTGAGCGTGTAAGAGGCTGCATGCGTGGTGACCTGTGAAATGAGCCACGGCAGGAACACACACACAGAAAGGTGACAGCCACACAGCTCCACAGACCCACAGACAGCTCATGAAACAGGACAGAGAGACGGGTGGTTGGGAAAAGAGGTCGGTTTTATTCACATGAAAAGATGCAAAGACACAAACAACAGGAAGAAGACATCAGAGGTATAAAGGTGAGCATGGGGAGGCACAAAAACAAACAAAAGGCAGGGACACTGTTTGTTGGCAGTGTTTTTCTGGCAGGGGTTGGTGATGTTGCTACGGCAACGGCGTACCTAACTCCCGTCCATCCCCCGAGATCCGGGCCTCTCCCGCCCCCTCCCCATCCTCCCCCGAGCCAAGAAAGTCAAATTCACTGAGGGCGTCCTCCGAGTCGTCCTCGTCCTCCTCGTCCTCGTGGTCCAGATCTGTGGTCATGGGTTCTGAGCTCATCTGGACGGGCAAAGACGGCAGGATCAGCACGAGACAGCTGGAAACAATTTACTAAAATCTAGTTCATCGTTGGCGACCTGACCTTTACGCGGGACTTTTTGCTTTTGCGTGGACCATCGATGCAGTCGGTGGCTATGCCTTGGAAGTCCTCTTCCTCGTCGCTGTCGTCCTCATCGTCGTCCTCGCAGCCATGAAGGAAGGGGATCTTATCCAGCACAGAGCTTCCCACGTGTTCCTTGGAGCTTTCTTTGCCGGCATTCCTATTAAAGGTAACGGTTAGAAAACATAATTAAGGACACCGGTGTTTGCCGGACGGCAGAATGGGTTCAAGCACTGGGAGACACCATAAACCCATCACACAAGATGTCACACCCAGCAGATAAATATTTGATCAAACTAAAGGGTGAAAAGGGTTCTTCTGTGCAGCAAACCAGCCTTTAGTCTGCCTAATTATTAAGCAACTGTCTAATTTATTAGATTATGCTCTGATGCTAGCTGGACCCTTTTCTGGGTCTCTCACCATTCTGCTGCTGGATTTCAAGTACATAACTAAATGCCTTGTGAGTCGATCTCTGTGGGAAAATTTTCAGGAAGTGGAAGTGAGGATGTATTGTCCTGTTTCCTGATATTTGGATATCTTGCCTCTGATTGGCCAACTGTAATGTGACTACCACTCGCTCCACTTGATCTGCAACATTGATGGTTTATCTCCACAAATAACACAAGCCTGGAGGAGTTGTGCTGCGTGATGGAGTTGCTAATGGTAAAGGTTAGCTTCTACTCTCTTCTGGGCACTAGACCAACAACAGCATTCCCTGCCACAAGCCAAGATGGGTGAGTTCACGAACGCTAATTTTAAATGTGACTTAGATCTATCAGGCGTTACTAATCCCAATGTTTCCACGTCTATTTTCTTTCAGCATCTAATTTAGTTCCTGTACGTTAAACTGAGAGTTACTGATCATATTTAAAAAACGACAAATAAAAAATCGGTTTCTCAGGGAACTTGCTCTTTAAAATAAATTTATGTTTTATAATTGTAAACTTTGATTAATGAATTTAGAAAACACTTGAACATATTTCTGAATATAATTGGTCACTGTGAGCTTTCCATGCAGGCTGAACATGAAAATAGTCTCCTACTCCTGTCTCCTGCATTAGCTTCCGATAGAAAATAGACGGTGAAACTCTAGGATTAGAAAAACCTGACAGATCTACATCACACGGTCACTTAACAATCATGGACTCACCCATCTTGACTCATGACGGGGGAGGCTGTTGGTTTAACAGCCAGGAAACAGCAGAGGACATCTCAACTAGCAGACGCTAACCATTAGCATTAGCATCTCAAACACACAGCAGAACTTCTCCAGGCTTGTATTATTTGTAGAGATCAACATTGGAGGGCAAACAGTCAGTGGTAGAGTTGCTGTTATCCAATCCAGGGCGAGATGTCCAAATATCAGGAAATAAGACTCCAAATCCTGCCGTCTGAAGCTCAGCTGTGGGTAACTGAGGTCCTAGAAATGGTGCACCAGTATAATTGTTTCTTCAAAGTATGACTTACAAGCCATTCGCTCCTAGCAGAGACCACTGCGAATGTATTATTTAAACGAGTAATCCACCGCTGTAAAATAATTTTTAAGTATTGTCACTATTTTTGACATACTAAAACCACTTCTTTGTCCAATGTCTCAAATCTATGAATCTGATTACATTTAATGTTTCTCTAGTTTTTATAAACCTCTGGATTTTTTTTTTACTTTTTCTGATCTCAGTTTTGAGTTAAAAACCTTGCCTCCGTCTACTGAAGCCTGTTTTGTTGTTATTTTTACTGTGAACTACGCCCAGCAGCATTAGAGGAGAAACTAGACTTGTCAGATTCATCCTGTAACTGTTATTAGCCCTGACACCATCAGTAAATAGGTGACTCAGGTTTATTGGCAGCCAGTTCCATCCCTCCACTTGAACTGGGTTGGACTGGTTAAGTGTTTTGAAAAATTAGCCCTCCTCTCCTTTCTTCCGATTGTTTTTCCCCCAAATAATTTGAGTTTTGTGCAGCAAAATGTGGAAGCTGTTTGTGCCGTCACTGCAGCATGTACGTGAGGCGTAACGTCAAAGATAGCGTCTGTATTTACGCCTCACCTTTTGATTTGCTCCTCTATTTGCCGGACCAGCAAGGACTCTCCAGCTGCTCGTGGCTCTGGCTCCTGACAGCTGTCGCCGGGCGGAGGCCCGTTCGTCTCCGGGCTGCTCCGACCCAGCAGGGAGCGCACACGTTTGGAGCGCATGTCCAAGATGGTATCTGAGTAGCCGACCTCCTCCAGATATCTGCAACCACAGACGGAAAATCAATAATAAAACACAAGCATAATATAGCATCAGTGGATTTGAAATTATCAGGCAAACTCACTTGCGTAGTAACTGACGTCCCTCCTTCCAGGACATCTGATTGGCTGGCTCAGAGTCTGTCTCAGCTGGTCCATTGAGAACTACAGAAAACACGTTCAACAAGCCATGAGTAGGAAAAAAAACACGTTCGGCTCTAAAAGATGCAGCATTCGTAGACAAGAACAAGTGAAAAACATACGCTGCTCTGCCTCCATCTCTGGCTTCTTTTCTCCAGGACTCTGGTCATTTCCTGTCTTCAGTTTCTGGTGCTTTGCCCTGGAGACACAAAACAAATCCCATCGGGAAAATTACCCGACAACAAGCCAATCCAAGGCTTTATTTACTAAACACAGCACCTGGAGAATGTACACAACTGTTAGATGGGGCCAAAACAGCCGACATCAGCTTTGTCCTATACATGTCCTATTTTATCAGAGGCTGCAGGAATAATGTGATGAGAACAAACCTTTCCTGTTTGAGGGCATACTCCAGCATTTTGATCCGCCTCACCAGGTCCTGTTTCATGTTCTCCTGCCCTTTCCGTTCACTCTGTAGGAATGCCACCTGAGCCTGTATGTAACGCACACACACACACACACACACACACACACACACACACACACACACACGGTTATGAATACACTTAATCCTTATTTTAAAAAGGAAATTGTGCAGATCCTACCACATGGGCTCATATAGGCCAACTAAAACCCAATACTTTAGACAACATTTTCATTTTTTATCCCTTTTGTTGCAAACGCCACAAAGAAGTGAAGAGTGACCGTAAAGACTATGTAGGTATTTCTGATTTACTTCTCTACAAATGCCATGATAAAAATATTAGTTCTTCATTTGCCGTTACAAAGGTCAAACAGCTTATTAAAACGTCTAGCTTCACAGATTTCCACTGGGAATGTTCTTTTTTTGGAATCTGATCAGTGGGGATTCAAGTTTGGAAAGCGTCCCACTCATCTCTGCAACCTTTAAATTACTCCACAATTTCCTTTTTGGACTCAAGTCTGGACAGGATTTCTTGACTATATTTAATATAATTTGGATGTTTTATATTTTGATAATGACCTTGGTACATTCAAGTGTTCCTCTGCTTCAAAAGGCCTGATTCAAATGAAAATGAATGGATTGGGTAGCCATTATGGGCAGACCAATATATCGACCAGTCGATATATCGGTCTGATATTTACTGATTTTAATACAACAGCTGATATTTGTCCTTAGTAAAGCTGATTTAAAGTCAGGCACATCTTTGGACAACCCAGTGCTGTTGCAGCATTTAATTTAAATGTATTTTTATGCTCACTAGTAACATGTGCATGATGAATACTCTAAATTACCATTATTAACAATGAGCTGTGCACAACGTTAAGATTTAACAGCTGGTTAAATTCAGAGTTCAAAAAGCACATCGGCTGACCATGCCTCCAACATATCGGCATTGGTATCAGCAATAGAGAAACCGTATCGGTCGACCTGGTTCTGAGATGATTCCTCAAAATAAACATAAATTTAAATGTGACTTTTACACTTAAGGTTCCGGAGTTTTCCCTTTTCAGAAGTTATATATGATTTTTCAGAAATCCGTAAGTGATCGTCTTATCATGTACTGTGATGTAATGTAAGCAATACGTCTTTGTTGATAAGAACGCCCTCTGCCCCGCAGAGCTCCGTGAAATAGGAACCTGAGCGCCGACCAGAACTAACCAATAGCGTACTGCTTACGTGCTTCAAATTTAAGGAAGTACCTCGGCTGATGCAGAGTTGATGAACTTTTCACCAACAAGTGTTTAAGATATATGAAAGCACAACACGATATGAGTATAATACTTGTAATGCGTGTTTTAGCTCTGTTTGTCGGCTACAGAAGCACATTCAGAAACAAGAAACATGAAGTCGCCATCTTAAAAAAATGGATCGAGTGACTATTTGTGTGATATGCTTGTCAGCCACCAGATGGTGCCATCAGATAAGAGAAACACTACCGGAGAGATACTTTAATTGTTAAATAGAGATAAAAACAGTAGCTAAAAAGGATAAAAATATGGTTGACTAGAATTTTTGTTTTATGGCTCATTAGCAACGTTCCCCTGCATTAATCTGGGCCACGGATCTCATCAAATAATATCTGCTGGAACAAAAGCGGAAAAGTCTGGAAACCTGTGACCTAAATGCCTAAATGTTAAACTACTGTCGACCAAATTAACGAGCAAAAAGATTAGTAAAAAAGAAAAAAGATGAAAGTAAAACGAGGCTCTTAGCCAATCACGGCTAAAGGTGCAACACTAGCAAATTCAAACAGACTCTTGTAAGACATCCTTCCCTTTTCAGTCCCTGCCTGTTTCCTTCCTCTCTGGTGAAAAACCTTTTTACTGCCCCTTCTGAGCACTTATCAAAGGGTTACGTGTGGAGAAAAGTAAAAATATATCGTATCAAGTTTATTTAAGGAGGTTTTGTTGGTTGGAGAAACGCCCCAAGTAGAAAACAGAAAAGTGACTCCATCTAGAAGTGGGATAAAAAAAGCTCTGACCCAGATTCTACTCTGAGGATTTGTGAGTCACCATCCGGTAGTTTTATAAATTTCCCACTTTCTTTTTCTCTTGGTGGTTCTGGAGCATTAATACGGATTGTTCCACAGCCTACTTCTCCTCCGCTCGTCCTGCTCCGTGTCCACGAGTCTCCTCCCACAGCCCCGTGAAACTAGAACAGTCTAAAAATGCCGTCTCATGGGGGCAGACAGACGCTCGGTTTGCTTCAGAGCCTTCTTAGACAAAAGCAGACACAGACTCACACACACTCACACACACTCAGACGGTCATGTAATCAGCTAGGAGGGCTATTGGAACATGGGATAATCTGCCAAGCAACCCTCAGTGCTGCTGAGTAATCCTGATTAATGTAATGTGATTTGATGTGCTTACGGTGAGTTTTGGGGATGTAATCACAGGTTCTGTGGTTCCTAGTTGGTCTAATTATGAATCAGTAAATAATCTAAAGTCGTCTAATTAGAGTGAAAATATATCACCTGTGTACAGTCACAGTAGTTATGTGGTTTCTAATGACTGGCTGCAGTTAAAGCATGTTTAATCGTTTGTTTCGTAACTGTAGATAAGACTGTTTCCACATTTTGCCAAGCAGAAAAACTTGTTCCAAAGTACCACAAACGCACTTCCACGTTAAGCTAAGCGGAGCTCTGTTGGTAATATATCTGGGCAGCACCGCAGCTGCAGAGACGTGGACTTAAAAATTAAAAGTGGGTGAACGGAAACGGTTAAAACCATACCATGCAACTTTTTCATAGTTTTTAAATCATTTTCTTGAGCCAGTGTGTGCTAAAATTACCCTTTACTAGGTTAATCAAATGGCACTCTGACCCCTACCGCACTCTGGCCAGAATACCGCACTTGCAACTTCAGAGTGTCAGTCCGGTCTCTGTTGGAATTAGTAAAGTGGAGCTGACATGCCTGGCACTGCAGTCTGCTTCCAACACCAGCATGTTTTAGATCATGAACACAGCTGGTTTGTTTGAGTTAAGCCCAATTTATACTTTTCTATCTGCATCGGGACGGACGCACACAACGCCATTATCCATCCTTGCGAGGGCTCTCCAGCAGCTCTCATCAACTGCACGGCCATTGCGCCTTCAAAAACATAAAGAGAACCGAAGGTTTCTAATGGCAGACACGGAGCAGCTTGAAGAATACCTCGTGGAAAATCAGTAAAAATATGAACATTTTATTCACCCGTGACTGGAGGAGTTAAAATGTACACAGAGCAAGCCTTTTATCTGTGGGCGGAAATGACGAAACGTGGGTTTAGAAGTGGCGAGTGCATGAAGACGTGGAGGAGAATGAGAGGCAAATTTGTCCGTGTTAAAAAGTCTTTTAAATACAAAAAACACAATATAAACACACTATCTTGGGCCGAATACATGACAGGATACCACAGAACAGTGCTACGCCCTCTGTTGTCCTGGCAGGGAACTGCTTTGTAACAGTCCCCAGGAGACGGAGAAGTCAGAGAGCAAAACGTCTCTGTCTGTGCGTGCGTGTCTCTCCCTCGTGGAGCTGACTGAGAATTATAAATTATGCTTTAGTGATGAACCGCTCCTGTAGACACTAAGAAAGGCTGAGAAGACATTTCAGCTGTTAGATTAAGGTGTTAAAAAGACAAACGCACAGCGAGAAGAGTTCACTTTTGCTTTCCCTTACAAAACACTAGGGGGTGCTAAAAGCAAACCAAAACTGCCCAGCATCCCTTTAAAGATGGGGCGCCATAAATCTGAACAGTGTACCTTTTGAATCAAAGTGCATAAAAATCACAATCATAACAATAAAATGTCTGTTTAACATTTCTGCTGTCAGTCAGTCAAGTCAAGACCTAAATGAGGACCATCAGAAAAACACAAGAGAGGCAAGGAGGATGTATCCACTGATGAATGAATAAATAAATAAACAATCCTCATCTTCAGTGTGACATCAGCATCAGTTCTGTTTTGTATACTAAAACCAAACCAACAGAAATGATGTTGCGACAAGCTGCTACAGACAGGAATCTGCCAATGAACTATGTTAATGTGTTTCGTAACAAAGAATGTGTCTACTTGATCCATGAAGAGATGGATGCACATTTTTACCCTCTTACAGACAAGCCGCGACCTGCATCCACACACTGATAACCATCAACCTCCCTTTGTGCCAGTCTCACTCTGCTCCTTGTTTCTTCTTGGCACTGATAAACATTAACACTGAAGCTGCTGCCTCTTCAACCAAGCTAAACACGACTCTGTAGCTGGAAAAGTTGTCTTTTTATCAAACGTAACATTGTCTATAAAGAACAGAGGTTATTTCCTATTTTTATCATATTCAATTACTGATGTGTGTTATTGGTTGTTTATGGGTTTTGTTTTGTTTGAGATTTATTTTGTTCTAATCAGATTTATTTCCTGTGAGGAACCAAGAAACAATAATAAAAAGAGCACCGTTACCTCCTAAACAGATCAAAGTACTACAGCAGGAATAAGAGTGTTTCTATGTGGAGGTAAAATTAAACAAATCAGGGACAACTACTGAACGCGTCTGTTCCAGACACAAGTGATAACGTAGGTGACAATATAACTGATAATATAACTGTATATTTTTGGATAAGGTAAAAAGAAAATGAATTTATACGTATTGTAAAAAATGTGCAAGTAAAGCTCAGTTGATAGATTATGTTATTGGCCCTTTTATTTACATACGTCATTTACTATCTTTAACTCAAACGTTCCTAAAAAGATAAAATGGCCAAACTAATCCCATAATGGAAACAAACATATGATTTCAAACTACAGATCGGTTTCTTAGCTGTCAGAATTCTCAAAATATCAGAAAAATTATTTGTTGCCAGGTTGGACAAGTTCCTTGACAGACAGAATATTTTAAGCAGTAGTCAGTACGGTTTCAGGGCAAATCACTCAACATCAATGGCATTATTGGAAATAATAGAAGAAATATATTTTAAGAATATTAGTGATGCACCGATATGAAATTTTTGGGCCGATATCCGAAATTAATATC